TTTTTTTTTTTTTTTTACAATATTTAGTACATTCACAAGGTTTGAAAAATAAAGCAATATGGAAAGAAATCCATAGAGAGATCTTGCTCTCATCCTTGTACCCATTTACCTGCCTCAGTGAGGAACCAATTTTATTAGTTTCTTGCGTACCCTTCAAGAGTTCCTGTAGGTAAACACAAGCATGTATTTCTTTCCATCTCGCCTTTTCAGTGCAGAAGGTAGCATATGATTTTCACTGTTCTGTGTCCTCTTCTTTTTTTTATTGAAATACGATTCACATAACATAACAATCATTATTTCAAAGTGCAAAATTCACTGGTTTTTAGTATATTCACAAGGTTGTGTAAGCCTCATCACTAGCTAATTCCAGATCATTTTTAATACCTTAAAAAGAAAGACTGTACAAATTCATAATTCTTCCTAATTCCCTTCTCCCCAGCCCTTGGCAACCACTTACCCATTTTCTGTCTTTATGGATGTGGTTAGACCACATTTTGATTATCCATTCTTCAACTGATGGACATTAGGATTGATTCCACTCAGAGACAATTATAAATAATATTGTTACACATATTTGTGAACAAGTTTTTGTGTGAACACATGTTTCCTATTCTCTTGGATATATACGTGGGAGTAAAAGTGCTAGATCATTATAATTCTATCTTTAACTTTTCCGGGATCTGCCAGACTGTTTTCCCACAGTGCGTTTCTCATTTTCCATTTCTACTTGGCAATGTCTGAGGGTCCTAATTTCTCTACATCCTTGCTAACACTATTGTACACTTTGCTTTTTGTTTGTTTGTTTGTTTTTAGCCACATTATTGGATTTGAAGTGTACCTCCTTGTGACTGCGACTCATAGTTCCTTAATGAATAAGCACGTTGAGCATTTTTCTGTGTATCTATCGACCATGTTTATATTCTTTAGAGAAGTGTCTATTCAATTCCTTAGCCTATATTTCAATTGGGCATTTCTTAATTATTGAATTTGAGTTCTTTCTATATTGTAGATACTATACTCATAGCAGACAAATTAGAATATATGCTATCTTTTTTCTAAAGGCTGTCTTTTCATTTTGATATACAAATATAGCACTATAAATTTTCATGACATTCAGTTGATCTAGTTTTTTCATTTTTGCATGTGCTTTAGAAATCATTGCCTAATGCAAGATCATGAAGATATACACCAATATTTTCTTCTAGTAACTTTTTAGTTTTTGTTCCTTCATTTAGGTCTTTGATCCATTTTGAGTTAGTTTTTGTATGTAGTGTGAGGTAGGGGACAAGTTTTGTTCTTTTGCATGCGAATAGAATACCCAGTTGGAAAAACAGTTCTTTCTCTGTTCAATTGTGTTGGTACCCTTGTTGAAAATAAGTTGACCACAGATTTATAGTTTTATTCCTAAATTTGGAATTCTATTCTATTTGTCTATGTCTATTCTTATTCCAGTAAAACCTATCTTGATTACTGTAACTTTGTAGCGAGTTTTAAAGTAAGGAAGTGCGAGTCCTCCAACTCTGTTTTTTCTTTTTCAAGATTTTTTGGCTGCTAGGCGACCCTTGCATTTTCATATGAGTTTTTGGATTATATTGTCAATTTCTTTGAAGTCTTCTGGGACATAGATTGCAGTGAGTGTGTAGATCAATTTTGGAGGCATTGTCACCTTAATAATGTTAATTTTTCTTATCCATGAACATGGGATGTCTTTCTATTTATGTAGGTCTTCTTTAATTTCTTTCAATAATGTACTTTATAGTTCTGGAGATAAAAAGTTCAAAATCGGTCTTAGTGGACTAAAATCAAGGTATCGGCAGAGTTCTAGAATCTCTAAGAAAGAATCTATTTCCTTGCATTATTTCAGTTTCCAGAAGGAGACCACATCCTTGGATCATGACCCCATATCGCTCCAATCTCCATTTTCTTTATCACATATCCTTCTTTGACTCTGACTCTCTGCTTTCTTCTTATAGGGGACCTTTTGATTATATTATTCCCACCCAAATAATACAGGATATTCTTTCTTCCTTCCTTCCTTCCTTTCTTTCTTTCTTTTTTTCTTTGAGACAGAGTCTCACTATGTCATCCTTGGTAGAGTGCTATGGCATCCCAGCTCACAGCAACCTCAAACTCTTGGACTTAAGCTCTTCTCTTGCCTCGGCCTCCCAAGTAGCTGGGATTACAAGCGCCTGGCGGGGGGTTATAGTTGTCATTGTTTTTTGGCAGGCCCAGGCTGGGTTCAAACCTACCAGCCCTGGTGTATGTGATTGGTGCCCTAGCCACTGAGCTACAGGCGCTAAGACAGGATAATCTTTCTATATCAATACCTTTAATATAATCAAATCTGCAAAGTCTCTTCTGCTACATAAAATAACATATTTACAGATTTCAGGAACCAAAATATGGAAATCTTGATGGGAGGTATTATTTTGGTTATCAAAACCATGTTTTCTTGTTTCTTTTCATGTCTTATACTTTTTAGTAAAAACTACACATTTAAAATCACATAATGTGATAACTCTGGAAATCAGATTCCCCATTCTCCCCCACTGCCAAGTTTGTTGTTACTGCTTGTTGCAGTTTGTTTGTTTGTTTAGTGACTTTTCTGAACTAATTCTGTAAAGTTTGTTATTTGTGCATGTGCCAGTGAGGTCTCTACTTAGTTAGCTTAGTGATCAGCTGTGACTAGACAGATATTTCTTTAAATTTATGTAATTAATACATCTCCAATCTTTGTATGTGTTGGAGCATACCTTTTACGCTCAGCCAGAAGTTGATAGCTCTGCCTTAGCTTTAATTTCCTGCTTGCTTCACACTCAAGGTCATCCAGAGGTGAAAACCTAGGGTTTTCTCAGATCATTCCTAAGCATGTGCAAAGCCTTACTTACATATGTTGCCTTCTGTATTTATAACAAATGGAGCTTTTCAAAGCTCCCCTAGACATCTCATTCCACAACTTTCCTTTTTTAGATTTTGGTTTGTCTGTTGTTTGTCCCACCTATTATCCACCACCTTTGGAAACCATAAAATATTTGCCTATAATTATTTTTGACAAAGCCCCCAGGGAAAAGGCTTTTCTCATTGGTCGAGCTCTGAGTAGGTCCAAATACAGTTAGTTTTTACAAGTGGAGTCTTGGGGTCGGAGAAAAATGGCAGCCAAAAAACAGCTTCTTTGTGACTGGGCATAGTGAGATTGAGGAGAAAAGACTCTAGGCACCTCTGGCTTGTGGGCTCTGCCCAGAAACATGCCTCTGGGGACACATGGAGGCAGCAGGAGACTTCTGGACACCAGGAGGAGGATGAAAGCAGTGGAGATGTGGCAAGTGGTTGAGTTCAGTCTGAGGGCATGGAAGGCCTTCCCTGCAGGTTGTTTTGGTTTTGTGGGCTTGGACACTCGGTTGAGTTACATTGGGAGACCTTGGGTGAGTGACTATGAACAGAGCCCAGAGTCTGGGACTGAACCGCTGGGCCAGAACAGAGCTTTCACTGTTCAGCCGTGGGCTGTGCACAGCCATGGTGGGAGAGCTGCCCTGTAAGCTCTACCCTCAGGCTCCTAGAGTGAGGCCTGTGGGGAGACCTTGGGGGAGTGAGAAAGTGACTTTGAACAGTGCCCAGATGCCAGGACTGAGATGCCAGGGAAGAGCAGAGCTTTTAGTGTTCAGCAGTGGGAGAGCTGCTTTGAGCCTTGACCCTCAGGGGTGTAGAGCAAGGCAGGTTTTGGCGCCACCTGAGAAGTGAGCAGTTACTTTGGGAAAGATCCCAGCAACACATGCGTTCCTGGGAAAGCCTCTGTTTAGCCAAGTGCCATGGTTTGGAATGTTTGAGGTGTGTCTGGTAACCAGGCTGAGGAGAGATTCAAGTTCTCAACCCTGGAGGGTCTGAAGGCAAAGAAGTCAGCAGAGGCCTCCAGTCTCCATCTTATACAGCTGTATTAGAATTGTGATTAGCATCTCATACTCAAGAAGATCACCTGTTGCCCGGGCAATATTCAGCAAGATATAGATATATAGCTTTGTTTTTGTTTTTCTTCTTTTTTTTCTTTTAACTTCCCCCCCCATATTTTTCTTTTTCTTTTTTCTTCATTTTTCTTGTGTAAATATAATTTCTCAGTGTTGCCTTCTTTAATAATAAGAACTTCATGTTTTGCTAGTTTTTCTGCTCCTGTTTATTTGTTTTTCCCACAATTTTATCCTGTAAAGTTTTTTGTTCGTTTGCTTTGATTCGATTTAGAGTATTTTTGTTTTCCTTCTCTATTTGGTGGAGGTGGGGTACTGTGTCTGCTCAGGCTGGCAAAAAGCTACATATGTCAAGGGAACAATAAAAACAAAGTTTAGCAATAAAAACAAAGCCAGAGGCATCAGCCTACCAGATTTTAGGCTGTATTACAAGGCCATAGTGATCTGATCAAAACAGCATGGTACTGGCACAAAAATAGAGACATAGACATCTGGAACTGAATAAAAAAAACATGACATAAAACTAACATCTTGTGGCCATGTAATCTTTGATAAACCAAACAAGAACATACACTGGGGAAAAGTATCCCTATATAAGTAGAGTCTCCTAAAGAATCATCAGACAATTCAAATAGTGATAATTTTTCAGGAATAAAACTTTGAAAAATCTCTAACTCCATTCTGCTCCTTCTGATAGCTAACATGTTGCACCAGGAATGAAGACTGTGATTTTTCAAGGCCACCGCATAGATAGAAAGTAGGCATTGGAACAAGGACAAGTTAAAATGCCACAAAGCTCACTGTTCTCACTGAGATTCATCCAATTTCCTTCATTAACATCATTGTGTGGCTAAAGTTTCTGGTTAGTTTCCAGAGTTCTAAATAAGTTGATTCTCACAATTTTTTCTGGTGTTGTTGTTGTTTTTATGGAGCAGAGAATTTTTGAAGGTACTTATTCCACTTTTTACATGTGAATTAATCTTTCTTTTTTATTATTAAGAGAATTTGTCTAAGGATATCCACCTTAGACCCAAAAAGCTTAGATTTTGTAGACAGTCAGGAATGGAGTATCTGGCTCCATCTCTTACATAGATTTCTCATTTAATTTTTGCAACTCTGAGTGGTCTGTAACATGACACCCATTTTATAGATGAGAAAACTGAGATCCAGGACATGGTGAGCACTTGTCCAAGGTCACACTTCACTATGTCGGGGAACCATGTTCATTTAACTGCAACGCCTAGTTTTATGTCTCAATCATACTCACAGAAGCTTTGTAAGTTTTATCATATCTACTGACAGTATAATTATATTGTATCTGCTAACAATGTCTTTGCTTCTACATATTCTTTTTTTTAAACAATCTCATCTTAAAATTAGCGTGAGTAAATGTCTTTGAAATAAAATTTTATATTCCCTTTCTGTAATTGAAAAGTTAGTTTCATAACACAAATAAAAGTTAACCACAAAAAAATGTGACAGACACATAAAGAAGGGAAAATAAGCGAAGCATATGCACAGGGAAATCAGGATTATCTTATTCCAATTTACGTATCTGCTATGAAAGCTTTGAGCCCGAGCCCCTTCTCTCTTTATGTAGAAGGAAAGTGCCTGAGAAGTGAGAGGGAGATTAAAAACAGAGGACCAGCAAAGCAAAACATCCTTCTTCACTTGGTAGGAACAACTAGAAAAGTATCAAAAGGAATACAACCATTTCACTATATGATCTGGGCTCAGGAATATGAGACACCTCAGGGACTGGGCCAGTATGTCTAAGGCTCACACTTGGTGATAATTTTTTGTTTGCTTTTGGCTTTGGTTTTTTCTCCTAAGACTTAAATGCCAACAGCTTAAACTTTAGGAGTAGAAAAATTCTACTGTTCACATTTCCATATGCACCTGTCTTGTAGCTTTGAGTCTCCTTGGGGCACTCCTGGGGCAACCTCAGATGCCCAATAGGAAGTCTAAGCACAAAGCAGGCTTCACCTTTTCCAGTTGACTCCACACATCCAGCACATCATGGGCAAAGTTGAAATACTCAGGCATGGGCTGTTTCCCCAGGCTGATAGCCTCCCAGTTGGCCACAGCCTTCTGGAGGACAAGTGGAGGTGGTGGCTGCCCATGAGACCTGCAGCATCTCCGGGAGTTCTTCAGTGCCTGGAGGACCAGGCCTCTCAGCCATGGCCTCATGTTTTCTTCTCCTGTCTGTCACCAAAGAGAGAAAAGAAAGTTCAGGTTAGGAGAAGCCTGTGGCTGGCATTGATGATGACTGTAATATACATTGACTTGCAGAATAGGCTCTCAGCTTGCTGTCTCAGTTCTGCCATATGATGTAGCTCATTTCTCTTCTCTGACCCTGAGGTCCATCCCTTCCACCTCCCACTGCTTGTGTGTCCCATTTGGGCTGAAGTGAGTCACCTAGATCCCACTTCCCAAGGCTCAGTCCTTCAAAAGGGATCCTCAATAAGCCTTTGGCCAAACCTGAACTGGCCTGACAAAGGGAAAGACAGTTCTAGGGCAGTGCTGTCTGGTAGAAATAGAACATGAGCCACATGTGCAATTTACAATATTTTACCATGTTTCCCCGAAAATAAGACCTACCCCCAAAATAAGCCCTAGCAGGATTTCTATGCATTTTTTAAATATAAGCCCTATCCCGATATTAAGACCTAGTGATGGTCATGGCTATGCCCATCTGCATAGTCACACCATGCATTTCAATGTGGAGAAGACATCCCTGAACATAAGCCCTAGTGTGTCTTTTTGAGAAAAAATAAATATAAGACAGTGTCTTATTTTTGGGGAAACACTGTAGTACTTCCATTAAGAATAGTAAAAAGAAACAGGTGAAATTAATTATGATAATACATTTTCTCTAAGTAGATATATCCAACTTATACTTTTCAACATGTATTCGATGTACAAATAAATTATTAAAGAGGTATTTTCCATTCTTTCATTCCTTCTTTTTTTGTACAAAGTCTTCAAAAATCTGATATATATTTTACCCTTATTAAGCACATCTCAATTTGGACCAGCCAGATTTCAAGTGCTCAGAAGCCACACATGGCTGCTTTCGTACACTATACAGTTTTAGTGTCTTGCTACTCAAAGTGTCTTTCGACCAGCAGTGGTAGTTATCATTTGGGAGCTTGTTACAATTGTAAGACCCCAGAGCCCACCCCACACCTGTGGAATTAGGATCTGTAGGTTAACAGGATCCCTTGTGCAGGTTAAAGTTGGAGAAGCAGTGGTCTAAAGGCTGTATCCCCAGTCTCTGTTTCCTTGTGTCACCTTCCTCCTGATGGTGATAAGAACCATCAGTAATAATGTGTCATAACAACAAGAAAAACAATAACACCTGCTGTCTAGTGAAGGCCTACTGTGTACCAGGGATTTTGAAAGTGCTTTATAATAATTATTTCACTAAATCCTGATAATAACTGCTATAAATGTTATTTTCTCCATTTATAGATAATCGTACACTGCCCAAAAAGTGAGGCTTGGAAGGGAAATTAGCTTCCTTCCAGATCACGCCCCCCAGAAAAGCACAGATGCAGCCTCTGCTGTGGCTGCCAACCCTAGGCCTGTGGCCTGGGAAACTCCCTCTCTCTGACACCCTTCACCTCTCCTGAACTCTGCCTCAAATCCATTCCTATTTTCCCTCCCCTGGATTTCTCAAACCCTTTGGCAGCTGATAATTAGAGTCCCCAAGGCCATTTCTGGCCCTGGCCTTTGTTGGTTTAATCAGCAAACTCCCCAGAGGGAAGCTGACACCTTTGGCTAAAGAATTTCTCTCTGAATTACCTTGTTCTTGAATCCAGCTAGCTATTCAGGAGGCCTCTCTGGTCTGCTTTAGCTGAAGGGCATAACGGCCTGAAAGCCTGGACACACACTTCCTCAGCAGGCTAGGGAAGGCAGGTTGCTGACTCAGCCTCCCCGGGGAACTTCAGCCCCAAATGCGACCAAGAATGGGCGGGGCCAGAAGCCAGCAGTGGACGCAGTTGCTTCAACTTGCCAGGACATTTTGAGCCAGTGAGAGTGGCCTCCAGCCAAGTTTTTCTCAGGGCTCAGCACTCACTGTGGCTGCTCACAGTGGCTAGAAGATCAAACTCCTGCTTTAGTGCCTGCTTGGTGTCCCTATACTGCTAGTGTATTTCCTGAAAATTCTGATCACTGCCTCATCTGAGAAAAGAAGACAAACTTCATGTTTTAACAGAAAGGAGACAACAGAGATGATAAAATAAGTCAGACCTTGTTCTTTTTCTGCCTCTGTAGATACAGAGAGCGAAGGAGGGATTGATTGCCCAGGGCCAGATCTGTAACTGGGGAGTGACTGCAGGGATTGGGAAACTCTTGGTGGTGATAGAATTGCTGTATATTTGCACCATGGTCATGGCTCTATAAATGAAAACTCTGTACATGAAACACAAAATAATGAAGTCATTGTACACTGTTCAAAATTGTTAAAAAAAAAAAAATTCCCACAGTTGTCTGTCTCATTCAGTCAAAGACAGAGTCCTGACAAGAGTCTTCAGGGTCCCATATGATTCCCCCTCTCATCTCCTTGCTCACTCTGCTCCAGCCTCATTGGTTTCCTTGTTTGATCTCTGAAGTTTTGGTTTACAGTTGGCTACTAGTAAAGGGTTTCTCTGAGCATAACATTCACAAAACGTTCTGACTTATAGCATTTGCCAGCATCTGAAGTATGACTACTCCCAGCGTAACCAACTCCAAGCTACCAAAGTTTTCACATGCTGGAAACACTCTTGCACATTAGCAATTGTCTCTGAGTGTCCCTGCAAGCTGGCTCTGACACGGCCCTGCCTCCTGCCTCAAGCCGGCTGGTCTCTCTGCCAGGACTGTTCCTTCCATGTGGTTTAGCACCTTATCACCAATAGTTCAATAAATATTTGCCCAGTTAATGAGTGTAAGTAACTATACGTAGTGATGATTTTTTATCTGCCAGATTTTATTGTGCTGAGACTTTCCATGTTTGACAGGTATACTTAAAGGGATTTGGGACACTCTGGGTACACAGTGTGTGTCTATGTATTATTTTTTACGTTTATTTCAGAATCAAACCACACTTGTTTCCCAGTCACAAGGTTCGGTGGGAACTTCAAGCTTTTTTAATATTCAAGTTTATTTAATATTATTCCCTAGAATTGAGCAGAAATCTCTCTGCTGGAGAAGGGTTTATGGGTACCCCACGGAGAGGGTGTTCCGGCACCAGCTGCCTATCTTTTCAGTAATTCACCATCACTCTGGATGTTTATCCATCACTGTATTTTGTTCCCCCATGGCTCTGTCTCATTTCTGGGTCAGGCCAGTGTGGCCCATTTCCATATGGGCAGCCCCTATGCCTTCCTGCCAAGCTTAGCCACAAAGAATATTCTTTTATTTTTATTCTTTTTAAATTTCAGATTAATATGAGGGTACAGATGGTTAGGTTACATTATTTGCATTTTTAGGTAAAGTTCAGGTAATAGTTGAGCCCTTCCCCTAGGGGGTGTGCTGTATACCCTTACATTGTACCCATTAGGTGAGAGCTTACCAAACCCCTGCTCTCGGTCCTCATGGTCCACTTGTTCCCATGTGGAACATGGTCCCCAGTTCTCTATTGTGTCCCAGACGATGTCTCCATCTCTGGATCTTCAGCCAGATCTAAAGATGCAATCTCCACTCTCAGAGAAGTGGATGGACTGATTTACCTGTTCTTTGGGCAATCTGATCTTATTATCATGGCTCTTCAACAGTATTTTTTATTTATTTACTTTTGCCCCATCACCATTAATATGTAGTAAAAATTGAGCAGCAGACAGTTGAAAGCTACAAATTCTGACCATAATAATGATGTGAATAATATTAACCCTTTCCTTTATTCATCCAATAGTAACAGCCTTTCATTTATTCACTAAACAAATATGTATTAAGCACTTACTACCTTCTAGGCAAAGTAAATTATGCGGAATTCAGAAGGCAATTATGCTGTAAAGAAAAAAATAAAGGTGAAAGGAGGATAGGAAATGCCTAAGAGCAAGGGGCAGTTACAAGTTGAAACAAAGTGATCAGGGAAGGCCCAACTATGAAAGCGACATTTGAGGAAAGAGTTGAAGGAGCTAAGAGAGTGAGCCTTGAGTATACCTGGGTGGAGAGCTTCACCTGGCAGAGGAAACCATCGTGCAGAGGTCCGGACATAGGTGCAGAGCAGAAGAGGGGCAGGAGATGAGCCTGGGGGTTACCAGGCTAGAGGCACTGCCCTTCAGGTACTGTACTGCTTATTTTGCACAGATCGTATTGTTGAACCCTTATGATACCCCTGGGTTATATGTCATTTTTCAAGAGAGGAAACTACTGAGCCTTGGAAAAGAGTAAAACACACACTTAAGGCCACACAGCTATTAAGGACAGAGCTGAGATTCAAAATCCACCCTACAGGCACTGAGATCAGGGTCCTCCTGGATCACACCCTGAAACACACCCTGCCTGTGTTTCATTTCTGGCCCTCTACGTAAACTTTGACCCCTGCTGTCCCTGGACAAGTTCTCCTCTCAGCCAGGGCTGCCAAGCAGGGGCCCCTCTTACTCAACAATGGCCCATTCTTCTCCAGGTCACCCCTGGTCCACCAGAACCCCAGAACTCAGAACATTGCTGTGGAGGCTGCTGTGCACTGTGTGTGCCAGGAAAGAGCTTCATTTCTGCCCCCAGATTTTTTTAGAAGAATACTCAGCTGCCTTCAAGTCCTGCTCTGATCACAAAGGGAAGCTGGGACCCTGCTCTTCGGGCTGAGACTTTTCTCCTTAAGAGCCACAGAGTTTGGGGCTCCAGCCTTGACCTGCCCCCCACAGGTATGAGCTTTAGAGAAAATGGTCAATGTGACTGATGGGCCCTGCCTTGGGTGCCTTCCCTCTGCCAAATGTCACAAACTTGTGTGGTATAGATGGCTTCTCATTAGGGTCAACTGGGAAGATGTAGAAAAAGGAATGATACCCAGACTCAACCCATCTCAGACCAATTAAATTAGAACCTATCAGATTTGGATTGAATGTCAGTATTAAAAAAAAAAAAACAGGAAATTCTAACATGTAGTCGTAGATACGAGCTACTGAAACAGACCATGGGGTTTACTATGAGAGTTAAATTAGGTCATTCGTTCAAACATTTGTTGAGCTCCAATCTGGTCCAGGCACTGTTCTAGGAAGTGGGAAAACAGATATGAACATCAGCATCTACATGGAAAAGTTTTAAAAATAAACAAAACAATGTACACTCAGAAATAATAATATGAAATATGGAGGAAACAGTGGTGCTAAGGCAGAGTGTTAGGAACAAGGGTGAGGTGAGATGGAGCACCCGGGGAAGATCTTTCTAAGGAGCAGTGATTTGAGCTGGGACCCAGTGGACCTATGAAAGATGGGCAATGTGGGAAAGGGTGGTCCCAGCAGGGCAAAAGCCTGGGGCAGGGTGAATTTGGGAAACAGGAAGGAGCCAGTGTAGCTGACCCACAGGAGAGGGCACACAGCCAGATGGGGATACCAAGGACAGGTGTGGTCCAGGTGGGAGCCATTGAAGTCTGGCAGACTCCAGGAAATGGCTTGGCTGGTGTGTGATGGCAAGCCATAGGGATGCATGGTTAAGATAAATAATGGTGAGCGGTGCCTGTGGCTTCAGGAGTGGGGCGACGGCCCCATATACCGGGAGTGGTGGGTTCAAGGCCAGCCCTGGCTAAAACTGCCAAAAAAAAAAAAAAAAAGATGAACCATGGTATCAAATTCCTACCTCAAGATGAACTCTCTGATTGTTGTGTATGGAAGGATGAATTGGAGGGAAGCAGCAAGTTCAGCTCAGTGGGGAGGTTGCTCCATGTCTGGGGGAGAAACAGTAGCTGAAAGGACATGAGGGCTCTCTCTGTGTGGAATCCTATGGAGTCCATATGCAGTTTGTTTCAGAAGAGATGTTGGCTATTATTAATCAAAGTTTCCCATGTCTGTCCTGCATGGGGGTGAGGGGGTGACATTGGAGCTGAATGTAGAATTTTAAAGGCTGGGCAGAGTCTTCCAGGAGGTGGAGAATCCACAGAGGGGCCACAGTGGGGCCAGAGCAGAGAAATAGGGAGAACCAGAGCCCACCAGAGTAGGGCTAAGGGCACAGTGCAAAGGCCAGACCAGAATTGGGTCCAGAGATCAAAGTAAGTCCTGGGACAGTGCAGAGCTGGGCTGGAGCTTGAGGGGAGTCTCAGGAGAAAGAGCAAGGAGGGAGGGATTATCCCTCCTCCACCCCCAGAAATACAAACATAGTTTACTTCGCTTCCTTCAGTCAAATGTCAACTTCTGAAGGAAGCTCTCTGTGGTTGCCCTATTTAAAATGTCCCCATTTCCCCCTTATCCTGTAGCTTTTGGACCTTACCTTATCTACTTTTTCTCCCCTGCACTTATCATCATCTGACATAGGGCTTATTGTATCTGTTTGTCTCACTGACTGTGTTTCTCACTACTGGAGTGCAAAGACTCTTGTCTATTTTGGTCACTTCTATGTTCCCAGCCTCTAAATGGTATGCAGCATGCATCCATCCCTTTAAAATATTTGGGGAATGATCAAATGAATTACTGGTTTCCTTAAGGTTGGCAGAAACCACAGGGTGAGAGTCTGACTGTGGAAGGCGCTCCTCACCAGTCGTGGAGTTTGGTCTCTGTTCTGTGCCATCTGAGGCACTGGAAGAACTCTAGCCTTATAATCCAGCTTGCCTGGGTTAGCAGGAAGCCTGGTACCTCCCACTGCCCCTTCCCCACAAACTAAACATGAAACCCTGAAGGACACTCTGTCAAAGACCCAAGAGGGGAGATCCTGAAGGTGAGCCCACTGTGGATCTCACTTTCCACCCCCACTGAGCTGGGCCTGAAACAGCTCCCTTGAAGGTTCACAGTCACAAGGTCACC